GGCTGGACATCCTCCAGTTGGGAAAGTATGTGGTGATTATGGGAAAGGCTTGGGGCCCATGGCATCAGTGTGAACAAGGTCATTTCTCATGCTAGAAGAGACAGGGCTTCTTGGAGTCACCAACATGGCTGCTCCAGAGCTCAGCTTTGAGATGGATATTTGACTGGCCAGTTTGGATGACTTGCCAGGTGGAGGTCTATTCTCAGGCAATTAGCCAAATCTTCTACTCAGAGAAGAAGGAAACCTGGGAGGTTGGTGCATCTTTGATGGGTGGTATAAAAGTCCTCAATTTCAATGGGAGTGCCAAAGGATCCATCTTGGTTCAGATATCTGAGCAATGTTTTGTTGTTTTCAGTGTACAGTTCTTGCTTATCTTTCATTAGACTTATTTCTAAGTATTTTAAGTATTTTGATACTATTGTACACGATGTTTTAAATTTCATTTTCTGTCATTTGTTGCTAGTACATAGCCATACAACTGATTTTTGTATATTTGCCTTATATTCTGCAACATTGCTAATATCGCTGATTAATTCCAGTAGATATTTGTAAATACCTTAGGATTTTCCCTGTAGACAATAACACTGTCTGTGAATAGAAGCAATCTTACGTTTGCCTGTATTATCTTTGTGTCTCTTCTTCTTGCCTTATTTCAACGGTGAGAACCCCCAGTATAATGTTGAATAAAAAAGGTGAGGGTGGATATCCTTGCGTTGTTCATGATCTTAGGGGGATGCATTCATTCAGTCTTTCACTGATACCTGTGATGTTAGTGCAGGTTTTCTGTAGACACTTTTCATCTGGTGAAGAAGCTCATTTTTAGTTTATTGAGAGTTTTTGTCATGAATAGGGGCTGAATTTTGTCAAGTGCTTTTTCTGTATCTGTTGAGATGATCATTTATGATTTTGTGTTGATTCTATAAATATGGTAAATTACATTGATTGATTTTCTAGTGTTGAACCAACCTTGCATTCCTGGAATAATTATATCTCAATAAAGTTGATTTTTAAGTTTTTAAGGAAAAAAAAGGGGGGATAGGGGAGCTTAGGGTTAAAAGGGATGTAAAAGACGTACTTAATCACAATATGTAGGCTTCATCTGGATCCTGATTTTTTAAGTATAAAAGAAACACCCTCTTTTTGCGCATTTGGAAATTGAACACTGACAGGATCTTGAATGACAGCAAGGAATTACTGGTTTTGACTAGATGTGATATGGTATTGTTGATAAGGGGGTTTTATTGAGTTTTTTTTTTTAAGTTTTAGAGATATATTTGGAAATATTAATGAATTAAAGTGTTTTCTAAAAAGACTTTGATGGTCCCTCATCACGTTTAGCATCAAATGTAGAGCCCTGTGCTTCCTCCTCGGCCCTCACCCACTACACCCTGATTGCACTGGCCTGCTTGTGGTTTCTTCAGCGTGTCAAGCTCCTGGCTGCCGTATGGTCTCTGCACTTGCTGTTCCTTGGCGATGCCTCTCTGACCCCTCCCTTCCTCCCACCAGACCAGTCCCTTGTCAGATGCTGTCATGCTCACACATAGTAGATGCCTGGAGTTTCAGCAACAAGATGGAGGACCGAAGGCTCTGGACCCTCCTCCCTCTCCCCATTGCTGTTGTCTTCGACCGTCATCAACTCTCACGTGTACTGCACTGCACCTGTCTTTCTGGCTACACTCACCGCCCCCTCTAATCCAGGGTGGCTTTCCAAAGGGTCGGCCCTGACTCTTGTGGCCACTTGTCTAACCAAGGAGTAGGCCCCTCTTGTCTTCTGTCTCTCCTCTGCCACTCAAGGGCTCTGCACCTGCTAGTCACAAAGGGGCCTGGGAACGTGGTGACGCCAAGCACATCACCCCACAACCATCTCATGGTTGGCACCAGATGCCACTTTGCTGCTGCCCAGGCCTGGGCACTGGCTCCAGGAACAAGAGTGTCCTCTAGGCTGGACCCCAGGTGGCCCGTCCCTGCCCAGAGGGAACACAGAGTCCAGTAGTTTGGGTTCTTGGAAAAACTGCATCAGAGAGTTTAATAAGTGACCTGCAGGGCTGTTTACCACCACTGATGGTCCCCGACAGCCTCAGCCTGGAGGTCAGGTGGTGCTAGGGGGCTGGGTCGCCAGATGGGGCCTTGGCCAATGATTGCCTGCTGGCGGCTGGAAAAGCAGAAGTGGAAGCCGATGCTCCCTTGGAGCTGGCTCCAGCTGCAGCTCGCCAGGGAGGCTCCTCCTCCACAAGGGGACCATCCCAGTGGATGCGGGCTGGGGTGGGTGGAGTCAGGGGTGGGGGGCACAAGGCTGGGAATCCCAGCCCGGATTCCAGGCCAAGTCTGCCACTAGCTTGCTGCAAGACATTGAGCAATCTGTCCTTTCCACCAGCCTCAAATGGAAATTTAGAAGGTGGGGCAGGAAGGAGGCAGAACTGAATGGACACTCCCTCAGCGGTTCTTCAGGTCTTGAATTGCCGTGGTCCCTCCTCTTCATCCTGCTCCCGGCCCTCCCCCTCATCCCCATCCTCCTTTCTTGGGGGAGTGGAGGCAGGGGGTGCCTGCAGGCTAATCTCCCTGGGCTCTGGAGTCAGAAGGCCAGGGTTGAGCTCTTCTCCCAGCTCCAGGCTGTGTGAGCTTGGACTGGTGGCTCACCTTCTCTGAGCCTCCATTCCTTCATCTTTGCAATGGGCATACTCTGTCTTGCCTCTGGATTGCCTGGGAGAATTAAAACTCAGGTCCATACGGCACTGGACATTCAACAGACAGTTTGCAAACATGAAGAGCCAGGGGCAGACTGGGAAGCAGCAGGCAGGAGACAGCAGGGGTGAAAGAGGAGTCGCCGGCACCTCCCCTCACTCGTCTCACCTCTGCAGTGCGTCACCCTGGGACTGACCTTTTCATGGGCTCCATAAAAAAATTAACAGCCCAGCAAACAGCAGGGCTCAAGTTGTGACCTATGGCCTCTAGGATTGCACAAAGAGGGGCATCTAGCCCAGGGAAGGTCCTCATAGGTGGGTGCTGGACAAATGGGTATGGGGGGGTGCTTGGAGGACCCTGCCCCCTCAAATTTCTCCTCCACCCAGCCTGAAATCCCACCATTAGCGACTTCTGTGGCTTACTTAAATCACGGATGGCAAACTACAGTCCCCACCAGTTTTTATAAAGCCTGCAAGCTAAGAATGGTGTTTGCATTTGTAAATGGTTGGAAAAAAATCAAAGGAAGAATATTTCGTGACATGTGAAAATTGTATGGACGTCCAACGTAAGTGCCCGCTAACAGTTTCATTGGAACACAGCCATGTTCATTCACTCCTGCGCTGACCTTGGCCCTCCAGTGCTGCTACGGTGAGGGGAGTGGTTTCAACAGAGACCGTTCCGCAAAGCCAAAAGCACTGGCCCTTTACGGAAAAAGCGTGCAGACCCCTGGTTTAAGCAAAAACAGAACCAAAAAAACAGCTTTGAAAGTGGAAGCGTGGGGCGCCTGGGTGGCTCAGATGGTTAAGCGTCTGCCTTCAGCTCGGGTCATGATCCTAGGGTCCTGGGATCGGGCCCCGCATCGGGCTCCCTGCTTGGCGGGGAGCCTGCTTCTCCCTCTCCCTCTACTATTCCCCCTTCTTGTGCTCTCTCGCTCTATCAAATAAATAAATAAAATATTAAAAAAAAAAAAAAGTGGAAGCGCCCTGGGAAGATTCTGGAGGGGCTGTCGGGTGGAAGCCAGGAGTCCCAGTCTAACCATGAGCCAGTCACCTATCCAGCAAGTGGCTGGGTCACGTCCCCTCTCCGAGCCTCGTTTTCTCCATCTGTCAAATGGACACAGCGATTTAACCCAGCAGCGTTTAATCCAGCATTGCTGGAAGTCTCCGTTTACACAGTCTGATTATCATCCACCCCTTAATGAGAAATAACTCAAGACGGCTTTCCTCCTTGCCCAGATGAGAGCATGAGGATACAAAGGGGGAGGTGACAGCGTCACACTGAGCAAGGCGAACAAGGAGGAAGGAAGGATCTCTTCTCTTCAAAACCACGTGCAAAAGAGCCTCTTTCTGCCAGAGGCCGTGGCCAGGGGCAGCCGGCCACAGCGTGGTCGCTGATGCAAGGGCTGCAGACAGCCCAGGGTGGGGCCAGGGGGGTGGGAAGAGAAGCAGCGCACGGCCCTTCTGCCGAGTCCCTGGAGGCTCAGACCCTATCCCAGCGCACTGGAGACACGCCAATACATACACAGATGCTCTAATCCTGTCCCTTCCCAGCTCATTCCATCAAAGCCAGAGTCCCTGCAATGGCCCAGGGGCCCCAAGGATCTGACCCAACACCCTTACCTTTCTGATGACGACTCCCTCTTCTTTCCCCCAACCCACAGCAGCTCCAGCCTCCCCCACCTTCTTGCAGGATGTCCAGCAGAGAGCACCTTCCTACCTGCGGCCCAGGGCTGCTGGACCAGAAGGGTGGTGGCCTCCCCCCACCCCAGGCAAAGCCCCTCCTTACCAAAGCAAAATAAGTGGGCGAAGAAATCGAGTTGGTTAAAAGAAAACGGTTTTATATTATAGGTACACGCGTGGGGTTCAGGGTGAAAGCACCAGCTATGGGCAGAGGAGGGCCTCTGCCGCCCTCCGGGGGTCTGTCCCTCCCCTCGGGCCTCCTGTGTGCTGTGTCCCAGCCAGGTCTCCCTGGGGCTTGGGGCAAGCCTTGGAGGAGCCGGCCAGACAAGCAGGCTTCCCGCTAGCCCTGCGAGCTGGCTTCACCACCTAAGGGCAGCCTTACACTCTTGACTGCTGGGCTCCACCTCCACGGGGGGCAGGGGGAGCTCGGGTCCTGTCTGTCCTGGGGTCGAGGTTGCAGGCAGGGTCCTGTTTGCTGAAGGGCTCGATGACGCACAGGGGTGGAAGAGGACATCGCTTGCCACAGCCGGCGGCGGTGAGGGCAAGGGCCACCTGCGCGGTGGGGGCTGGGCCCGCTCCTCCCTGTCCCCCACCCCCGGACGTCACTGGCCCAAAAGCTGCGGCCAGTGACCACGCCCCTCAGTAGGGATAAGGGGACACTGCGATGAGCAGGACGAAGACGCTCTGGTGGCGCGGCGCGGCGGCGCGCACGGTCAGCCGGTAGAGGCCGGCGCGGGTGAGCGCACGGCGGGTGTAGACGGCGCCGTAGCCGGCGCGCAGCGGGCGTAGCGCGAACGGGCTGCGCGGGTCGGGCTCGAGCACGCTGAGCTCGGTGCGGTTGGCGGGGACGCCGGCCTCGGAGAAGGCGGCCAGGCGGGCCACGTCGTGGTGGGCGCTCACGCCCAGGGGCAGCGGCAGCAGCTTGTACTGCAGCGTGGAGGGGCCGCCCGCGCTGCAGTCCAGCGAGCAGCGTCGGAAACACGTCCTGCGGGCGGGACACACGGACCGACTCGGGTGGCCGGCAGAGCGCGGGCCGGCGGTATAAACCGGCCCTCAGCCCCAAGCCCCGCAGTACTCCCAGGCGCTGCCCGTCCCCTCGCCCCCAGTGTCTTCTCTCCAAGCACCACTGTTAGCCCACCTTAGAGATCAGCAAACCGAGGCCCAAAGAAGCTAGAGACGTGCCCCTTCCCATGGGAGCGGGTCCCATAATCCCACCGGACTTTCCCAGCGCACGCCCGGGGGGCAGTCCGGTGGGCAATACAATTTAGAGCCCTCCAGGTCCGCAGGGAACCCCAGAGCTGAGTCACCTGCTCTGGATTTGCAACGGGGGAGGAGGACTCAAGGACACGTGCTTAGCCTTGCCAGGGCATCCATGCCCCCTCCCCCCTAGCCTAGGCTTCCCAACTGGTAGAGTCCAGGGCAAGTCCGCTTCCCTGACAGGTGCTGCTACAGCTTGGGTCCACCAAGGTCCCCGTGTGTGTGCATCTTTACCAGGATCTGTAGCCACAGTGAGTGGCGTGAAGATGTGTTTTGTGTTTGTGTGCCAGTGTGTGTCGGGAGTCCTGGGGCTTTGGGGGGTTTCCGGGTGGTGTTTATGTGTGTGTACGTGTGTCTAGGGTTTTCTGTGTGTAGTCATGGGTCTCACGTGTACGTGTACACGTCTGCCTCCAGGGCCTTATGCTCCAGCTGCAGCATCACTGCCCGAAACGCTAATGTCCAAATGAACTTGCACCCCGAGTGACTGCAGGAAGGTGCTTTTCATGAGGGCACCCTGCCCTGTGGGCACAGATGCCCCGCTCGGGAATTCTGGCAGGGTTGGACCCCACGGGCCCTAGCAGGGCCCCTGCCTGACACATGGCCTTTCTGGAGAAAGGGTCCAGCCGTCCAGGAGCCAGAACGTAAGCACCCAGCTCCTGGCAGACAGTGTACCCCCATCCACGCCCAGCCAGCTCAGCCCTTACCCTGGGCTGGAGCCCTGCCGGTAGGTGGCCGGACACGGCGTGTCCACACACTGGTAGCTGCCACGGGTATTAAAGCACATCTGGCTGGGACCACACTCGATGCCGTCCTCCTCACACTCGTTGATGTCTGGGTGGGGGAGGTTGGCAAAGAGATGGGGGATGAAAAGGTGGTGCGAGTGGAAGGGCCCGGGGCAGGAACCACAGAAGGCATGGGAGCAGGGGCGAAGCAGGAGAGAAATGCCTTCAGAGGACCAGCAAGGCGGGCAGCCCATCTCCCCTTGAACCCAGCCACCCTGATCTAGGACAGCCCAGCTGGCAGGTCCTGAGCACCTCCCCAATCTCCCCAGGTGGGCACCCTGGGGACCTCTTGAGCCTGGAGCTGGGCTGCAGGGTCTGGAGGAGTTGGGGGCTGCCCTCGGACCCAGAGTGCCGACTGCCCACGACCCCTGCCTGTCCCAGTGGAAGCCCCACCCTTCTCAGAGGACATTCACAGATCCTCATGGCAGAGAGCAAGGGATGGAGACAGGCAAGGCAGGCCGATTCCCACTTTCCTGGGATGGGGCAAGCGGCAGGGCCTGCTCCAGCCCCGGAGCACATTCAGGAGAGCACCTTGGCTTGGGAGTTAGGGGGCTCCCCGCTGCTTAGCAGCTGCTGCCTGGCTGGAATGCTGTCTCCGTGCCTGCCCTCCACAGGTCTCAGCCAGCCATTGCCGGGAGGACCGCGTTAGCCCCATTTCCCCAGGAGGCTGAGGCTCAGAGAGCTGAAGTGAGCTGCCTGGGGACACACAGCAGAGCTGCGGTCCACCTCCAGGGCTGCTTTCGGAGCCTGCCCGTGCAACCGCATACGTAGGTCCTGCTTGGAGGCTTCCGGCCTGGCTGTGGGCCCCTGGGGTGCTCTGAGCTCCTCTCCCTGCCCCACCCTCACGTGGGATGGTGGAGAAGCGGCTGGAGAGAGCCCCCCCCCTCCCCCCCCGCTTCCCGTGAAGCCTCCGCCCGGCCCGCCTGGAACTGCGAGGGCCGCCGCTCACCCTGGCAGTTTTTCCCGCTGGGGAGGAGGCGGTAGCCAGCGGGGCAGAGGCACTGGTAGCTGCCCTCGGTGTTGCGGCAGACGTGCTGGCACAGGCTTTGGACCCGGCACTCGTCCAGGTCTGGCCCAGGCCCAGGGGTGGGGGTGGGGGCAGAGACGCAGACTGAGCCCCCGAGGCCCC